TTTGTGATTCTCTACCATTCTCAACAGGAAACATTATTCTCCTCTTCTTTCTTTTTCCTCTAGCAGGAAAACAACTCTGACCAAAGATTCACCTAGAAGTCACCTTTCAAGAGATAGTAGAAAATCAGCCCAAGGCAGCCAGTGCCAGAAAGGATGGAGCCTGGGAAACTCTTGGATCCCCTGTGAGACACAAGCAGCACTCCGGAAAACCACAAAAGAACCCATGAATGCTCAGAGTGTGGGAAATCCTTTGCTTGCAGGTCCCTCCTTTTGACTGACAGGAAGTTCCATGTGGGAAGCGGATCCAGTGAAGGTTTGCAGGGTGAGAAATCCTTCTCTGGAAAAGACATGAAAAATTTCAGAAGCCCCCCCAGACTAAAGCCCTATAAATGTGAGGAATGTGACTTATGCTTTGGTCAAAGGTCACACCTTCTTAGACATCAGAAAATCCACACTGGAGAGAAACCCTATCAGTGTATGGAATGTGGGAATTTTTTCAGTAAAAAAGGCACCCTCAGAAAGCACGAGAGAATTCACACAGGGGAGAAACCTTACAAGTGTTGGGAATGTGGGAGGAGCTTTTCTTGGAAGGCAAGTCTTTGGGCCCATGAGAAGGTTCATGCAGGAATAAAACCTTACGAATGCTTTGAGTGTGGAAAATGTTTCACCCGGAGTTCAGGTCTTTGGACTCATGCGAAAACACACAGAGGGGAGAAAAACGAAAAGTGTCTTGAATGTGGGAAATGTTTTATTTCGAAATCAAACCTTGTGAAACATCAGAGAAATCACACCGGAGAGAGACCCTATGAATGCCCAGAGTGTGAGAGACGATTTATGTTTCCTTCTCTACTTCAGAGGCACCAGAAGGGGCACAAACGGGAGAAACCCTATCAATGTGGGGAATGTGGGAAAGGTTTTGTTACACAAAGAGATTTTCAGCTTCACGAGAGAATCCACACAGGGGAAAAACCATACAAATGTGAGGAGTGTGGGAAATGCTTTACCCGAAAAGAAAGCCTGGGAAGGCATCAGAGGCTCCACACAGGAGAGAAGCCATTCAGATGCCTAGAATGTGGAAAATGTTTTGCTGAATGGGGAACCCTTTGGTCACATCATAAAATCCACACAGGGGAGAAGCCGTACAAATGCCTAGAATGTGGAAAATGTTTTGCTCGAAAGGGAAACCTGTGCACACATCATAAAACCCACACAGGGGAAAAGCCATATCAATGCCTAGAATGTGGAAAATGTTTTGCTCAACAGGGAAACCTTTGGAGACATCATAAAACCCACACAGGGGAGAAACCATATCAATGCATCGAATGTGGACAATTTTATTCTACCACATCACATCTTAGAAGTCATGTAAAAACTCACACAGGGGAAAGAAATTACAAATGTTTAGATTGTGGGAGAGCATTTGCTCATTCACATTCCCTTAAAAAGCACAGCCGAATCCATACAGGAGAGAAGCCCCATAGATGCTCGGAGTGCGATAAATGTTTTTCTCAAAAAAAATACTCTTGTGATATATCAGAGAACCCACACTGGAGAAAAACCGTATAAATGTTCATAGTGTGGGCAATGTTTTGCCCAAACTTCATCACTTTGCAAACACACCAGAAGTCACACAGGGGAGTCGTCTTATAAGTGTGCAGAGTGTGAGAAAACTTTTCATAGTAAATCTCAGGTTAAAAGGCATCAGAAAGTCCATAGTAGAGATAAACCTCTTCAGTTGTGAGGAATGTGGAAAACATTTTTTGAAACGTCACATCTTATAATTCACCAGGAACTTCACACAGTCCCAGAAGGGAAATGCTACAGTTTTTTGGTGTGGGGAAACCTTCACAATGACGATGTCAAGACTGCTAACATCGGATGTTCTTGCTTGCCATATATGAAGAAGCAAACATGTTGTATTTAACCAGCATATCACTTCTAGAATTAAAGTCAGACAATGTTAGAATAGCGGGTGGGAAAGTATGTACTCGGGGGATAGTTAGCCACAACATTATTTCAGTACAGTGTTGCCAAGGTCAGCTGTAACCAGAGGAGTTACAGGAGGGAAAGTTCACACTTCAAACTAATTGGAGAACGTGATTAATGACTGTGAAATGAAGGAGTGAGTTATGCTTTGTAACGGTGATTGGGGGTGGGAGGATTCAGTTTTTGGCTGCATTATGTACTTGCCGATGTTATGTAGCAATAAAAGGTTTCTTTAAGGTAAACAAAGCTCAAAGTTCTTTGACAAGTTGCTTCTTTCAGAACCATGACATACGAAACCAGCATGGTAATTTTTTGTCCCAGTTTCTTGTGCTTTTTGTACACCAAAGCATCCGCACAGGAGAGGTTCCACAAATGCTTCAGCAGAATTCAAAATTTTATTTCTGATTTTTTTACTTTTCATTTTGGATATTAAGATTTTGGGGCCCGAAAGAGAAGAAGGAAACTCAGTTTAGATGCCTCAAATGATTAGAGGTGATGGAATTTGCCTTGTGATTCCGTTGTACCTAAAATGACAGGAGGATCCCATTTTCCTCTTGAATGTGTATTTATCTCCCAGCCAGCCCAGAGCCCAAGGACCTCCTGGTGGTCTCCCATGCAGCACTGCTGAGCTTTCCTGGAGTGGCCAAGGCTGGCCAGGTGTGGCCTCTTAGCTGAGACAATGAAAGGGAGGGTCTCTCTCTGGGTCTGGCAAGATGGGGTTAAGGCAAGTCAGGAGCCCAGTTCAAAGTCAGGAGCTTCTCAGAGAAAAACTGCAAAGAGGGAAAGGGTTTGTGCTAAATGACTGAGAGTCTTTTTGGAGTTGGGCAGGATTAACAAATTCAGGAAATAAATAGAAACATGGAATAAATATCCTACAGCACAGCAGACAGAAGCCTGGAGAAAAGAAAAGAAGAGCATTTGCTGATAATTTTGTAATAATTTTGGAAAACTTTTTTTGCAAGGAACAAAAATATTAATGGAAAAATTAATATTTTTGTTTTGGTCATTAGCTGGTTTTAAAATTAATAGCTGAAAGACAAAGATAGCAAAGTAAACATGAAAACGGAAGAGCAAATAGAATGGATGGGAAAAAAGTGTTTTGAAGAAATGACGCAACCGTGAGAAACCTGAGCATTATTTTAAAATACAAATTGTATGTCAAAATAATAACGTTGATGGGATGAAATCAAGAAGGATGTGTTAAGAAGTGGAAATTACAACTTGTTGGGGAGAATTTCTGTGATTAAAAATGAATGTATTACCCACTTTCATGATGTTTCTGTGGCATGCAGAAATACGATATGGGGGATTATTATTCTTTCAGTGAAGCTTCCCTGTTGGTGAGCAAATCTCATCCTGGCTCTCTCCGATCCCTTCAACTTCCCTGCAAGGTCTTCCCTCCCCCTCCCCACCCCAGAAGGGTTCTCCGGAGTGGGCAGAGAGACTGAGCAGGTGGCTCCTTGCAATGGCAAAGGGATTACAGATTCTCTTCCCCCCCCCCCCGTGGGCGCTGTCACATTTAAGCAAACATAATTTCCAAGTTTCTTGTCATCTGTCAACCTGTCCTTCCTCTCTTCTCCCAACTCAGCCAGACTTTCACCTTCCTTCTGGAATTCCTGCCTCTCAAAAGCCTCTGCCCAGAGCATTTCACCCCATTTGGCTTACGGGACAAGTATAACCCAAAAACACAGGCAATCCTCGACTTAAATCTCATTTAGTGACCGTTCAAAGTCACAAGGGCAACGAAGAAAGTGAATTTCAGATGCTTGGCAACTGAATTCTGAATATCGGATACTTGCCAACTGGTTCATATTTATGACCGTTGATGTATCCCTTTTGCGACATCCCAAAAACCAGCAAAGTCCATGGGGACGCCGGATTCACTTAACGACCGGGTGACTAACTTATCCACTGCAGGGATTCGCTTAACCACTGTGGCAAAAATGTTCGTAACATGGGGAAAAACTCACCACTCCCATAACCAATTTCTCAACATGAATTTTGGGCTCAATTGTGGTCATACGTTGAGGACCACCTGTAGTTTTGTTGAAAAATGTGATAGCCCCTGAAGGAAATAAAAGTTACTTTTATAAAATGTCAAAATAAAGCCCCAGTGTAACAATGTATGAAACTGTATGTTTAGCACAAATGTATTAATGTTGTGCTAATGTCACAATGCAAAGCCAATGTACGAGAAGGAATGTTTACTGCTTCCTCCTTATGTAGAGTGACCACAAATGGTAACCACAAATGGTAAACGGCAAAGATAATGAATTATGACCCGGATGGACGGAAACCGGAAGGAAATTGTCAGGATGAACTATTAAGTGTAAAAACAACTTCGAAGAATAGCTATAGAGTGGAAAGAGCTTCTTAGATGTGACCTGCATTGTAAAACGTATAAAATGCAAAGCTTGGAAACTGTCTGTTGCACTCCGGGAACCCAATCCATTGGGAAGAATCCAGGAGGCCACTTTTGCAAATGCCTTTCTTTTCTTCTCTTTATTCTTTTTATGTTATTCTCCAATAAAACTTTGTTTTGTTAACCAGACTTGTCTTCGTATTGTGAGTATCAAAATTTGGGGGTTTTACATCTCACACGACCACGGGGGGGGGGGGGAGGACGCTCTGTAACCCCTTTGCCACTGCAAGGAGCCACCTTGCTCCGTCTCTCCCGCCCTCCCGTGAGGACTCGGACCAGCCCCTCCCTCTCCGTCCTCAGTCGGGCTCCGCAAAGACCCAGCCGGAGAGGAGCCCTCCTCGAAGGGACGGGGGGGGGTTCCTGTCGCTCCTGCCTCCCCCCCAAAAGCCATCGCGGAGCTTCAGTTTCCACCCAGATGCTGGAGCAGGAGGCAGCCCCGCCCGGGCACAGCAGGGCACTCTTCGCATGGGCAGAGGAACCCGGGAGGCGGATGCCCAGCAGAGAAACGGGGAGTCCCGGCTGGGAAGGTGGAGAGGGGAAGGGAGGGGGGAGGAGCTGAGATCGCTAAGGGGCGGGGCGGAAAGCGGTGGCCGAGAGGAGAGCAGAAGCCCCGCCCCCCTCCTCGACCCTCCCACTCGGTGGATTTCCGCTTCCTTCCGGCTGTCTCGCTTCGCCCGGGCAGGATCGACGCCGGATCTCTCGGGAGAGGCTTCTGGATCCCGTTCCGGGCAGGTCTGGCTGCTCTCCTCCCTCCGGCCTTTGGGGCGCCCCTCCCGCCAGGACAGCTTCCCCCCCCCTCGCCAGGAGAAAGGTAGCTGCGGATCCGCCTCTTCGGCTTGCCGGGTTTTCCTTGGGGAGATTCGGCTCTGGCGTCGCCTGCAGGGAGCGGATCCCTCCCTTCCCTCCGGGGGGGCAAAGGGATCCCTCCCTCCCCGGGCTGGATCTGCCCCCTCTTCGCCCGGCCAGGGCTACCCGTGGGACTCCGGGTGGATCCGGGAAGGAGCTTTTGGGGAAGTTGCTCCCGAAGGTCTCTTTGTGGTCCGTCACAGCACGAGGTCTCCTGAGTATGCATATCGCGCACGTGCAGCTCCAGAAATGTAGCAAAAGGAGCTTTAAAAGATTTAGAGAGATTTGTAATGTGATTTTTTAAAACGGACTGACCTCATTGCGATAGCGAAGGGAGTCTTTGGGGGAAAGAAAAAGGGTTAAAATAACTGAATGGAGTTCATTTTTGGCTTAACTCACAAACATCCCACTTCCTTTGAGTTCAGTGTAAAAGGCGAAAAAGAAAATCCTTTGTGTGTAGGAAAAAGCCCCCCCCCCCGTTTATAACTAAAGTCTTTGAAGAGATAGAAAAGCCAAAGTAAATTGCAGGAGCCGCAAAAGGGAAAAAGTAACACCATCTCTGTTTTTTCCCTACCACTCCAAGCTGCCTGATAAATAGCCTCGGGCAGACTGGCGCCGGCTTTAGCCTAAAGAAAAAGCTGCAATGTTGCAATCAGAGGTCTTGAATAGCTTTAATTGTTGTGAAAGCAGAAACAAGGACTCCAGCCTGTGTATGTGGAGAAATGGCTCTCCGGAGGCTCTAGAGCAGAGGTTCTCAACCTTCCTAATGCCGAGACCCTTTCATACAGTTCCTCATGTTGTGGTGACCCCCATCCAGCTGGCCGGGGAGGGGGCAGGAAGGCCGCTCTGTGGGTTCCGCCCAGCCTGGTTGGAGAAGCGCCATTTCTCTCCCTCTTTCTCTCTTTCTCTTTCCTCTCTCTCTTTCCTCTTTCTCTCTCTCTTTTCTCCCTCTTTCTCTCTTTCCTCTCTTTCTCTTTCCTCTCTCTCTTTCCTTTCTCTCTTTTCTCCCTCATTCTCTCTTGCCTCTCTTTTTCTGTTTCTCTCTTTCCTTTCTTTTTCTCTTTCTTTTCTCCTTCCTCTCTCTCTCTTCTCTCTATCTCTCTTTCCCTTTTTCCTCTTTTTCTCTTTCCTCTCACCTTCTCTTTCTTCTCTCTCTCTCTCTTTCCTCTCTCTCTTCTCTCTATTCCTCTTTCCTCTCTCTTTCCCCTTTTTCTCTTTCCTCTCCCTGTTTCTCTCTTTCCTCTCTTTCCTCTCTCTCTCTCTCTCTCTCTCTCTCTCTCTCTCTCTCTCTCTCTGTTTCCTCCCTTTCTCTTTCTTTCTTTCCTCTCTTCCTCTGTTTCTCTCTCTTTCCTCTCTCTCTTACGGCAGCATCGTCGGGGGTCCCCGCCGCTCGCAGCCGCCCTCTGCTGCATCCTCAGCTGAACGGGTGGGGAGAGGGAGCAGGACGGGAGGAAGCAGTGGCGGCGGCCACTGCTGCATTGTCGGGGGTCCCCCCCCCGGCCCAGCCACCCCCCCAGCCGGTACTCTGCGCTGCCCGGCCTCGTCCTCTGTCCATCGATGGAGCTGCGGTGCGGGCTGGTGCCACATGGCCCACCAGCCCCTCCACCAGCCCAGCTGCTTCCCCCCCCCCCGACACCCCTCTTCCTTCCGGTGCCCGCCCGAGTTGCCTTGGGGGCAGCAGGAGAAAGAAGGAGAGGAGAAGGGCGAGAAAATCGCTGCCGCCATCCCAGCCGGGACTCCGCGCTGTCCACAGGTTGGGAACCGCTGCTCTAGAGCAGAGATGTCAAACTCAATTTCATTGAGGGCCGCATCAGCATTGGGGTTGCCCTCAGGGCGTGGGGGTAGGGCAAAGGTTTGGCCAGGGGGGTGCAGCCTACTGGGTGGACGTGGATGGAGTGGGTGTGGCCTACTGGGTGGGTGTGGCTAGCTCTACATCCTTCTCGTCCAGGGTGCCTGTGGGGGCCTGGGCAGGAGTGGGATAGGGTCTCTGGCAGAAGGGGGTGGGACCAGGGCAAGTGCCAAGGCATGGTTCACTGGAGGAGCCTCGCTGTTCCTCTCAGGCCATGTGGGGGGGGGGCTGGATGGTGTGCGCTGCCGGGAGCCCTGGGCAGCAGAGGTCAAACGCCCGGCCTGGCCCTCGAGCACCCGCGCCACCAAGCCCAGGGGGCACCCAGTTGCCCTTGCCTCCTCCTCAAGGCTGCTGCTGCTGTGCTTGCTCTCCTTAGCCAGGTTGCTCATGATGGGTACGAGGGCAAAGTCAGAGGGAGGCCCATTCCCTCTCCATGGGAGGAGACCCGGCTTTGTATCCCTAGCTTCTTTAGCCATAGGATGGGAGACCCCCAGGATAGGCCAGGAGGAGAGGGCAAGGGGATGGTGAAAGGCCAGCAGGGCAGGACTAAGGCAGGACTTCCCTCAACCCCCCCCCCTCCTTCTTTCCTTCCTAAGTACAGAGTGGTGGGAAAATATTTGAGATGAGGGAGAAGAACAGGCAAGAAACGCAGCTGGGCAAGTGTCACCCTTTGTGAGGAAATAGGAAATGCACCATCGCCTGGAAGTGGCCAGCACCTGGCTCTCACCTACTTCACAGATCTGGCTTGGTGGGCTCTGGGGGAGGGGAAGCCATGAGCAGCATGAGAGTCAGCGCAATGCCAACTAGCCCCCAGCCGGCCCGGTTTTGGTAGGTAGTGGGGCGCTTTCCTCACAGCGCCAAGAGGTTGAGCCGGGCGGGGCTAAGCTTGCCAGCTTTGCACCTTGCTACCTGCTGAAACTGGGCTGGCTGGGGGTTGGGCTTCTTTTTGGATTTGGGCCGCCCGGTTCAGCTCTTGGCGCTATGAGGAGAGTGCCCAGCTGCCTGCCGAAACCGGGCCGGCTGGGGGCTAGTTGGCATTGCGCTGACTCTCATGCTGCTCATGGCATCCCCTCCCCCAGAGCCCACCAAGCCAGATAGGTGAAGTAGGTGAGGGCCATTTGCTGGCCACTTCCAGGAGATGGTGCATTTTGTCATTCCTCACAAAAGGTGACACCTCCCCAGCATGCACCCAGGGGACGGGGGCCGACGCGGCAGTTCCTCGCTGTTTCCAGATGGCCTTGTGGAGCTAAGACTGAATGCCTTTCAGCATAGATGGCCACCACAAAATTGTACATTGGTTTTCGGCCGGCCTGGGCCAAGGCAACGGGGGCCATTCCCTCACAGTTTCTAGGATGGCTTCGCGGGCCAAATGAAACCACTTCACGTGCCGCATCTGGCTCCCGGGCCTTGTGTTTGACAGGTCTGCTCTGGAGTCTAGACGGGCTAGAGATAAAGGGATAAAGTGAATTACATCTGTTTCAGCGGCTTAAGCCAAGGGAGCCGATTTCACATATCGTTAAGCAGATGAATGTGGTGTTGTCTGAAGTGGGCAGGAGAAGCCATGAGAGTCCCAGCACAGGCAACTTTTGGCTTCAGGGACACATTGACTTTGGGGCACATGGCTTGGAGAAAGGCGCAAGGCTGCAAAGGCTCCGGTGTGGGGATTAATGCTTCATTTCTCAGTGGCCGCGGTGACACTGGGCTAAAGTCCAGGCCTGGAGTTAGTGGCCACTGGCTAAAATGGCTGAAGATCCCAGGCCTCCACTTAAGGGCCAGCCCCAGGATTGCTGTCAATCGGGGATGCTTTTCATGGCCTGGATGGGGCAAATCAGGGTTCCATGGGTGGCTGCAGCTGTGCATCTCACTTCAACCTTCCCCAACTCATGGGGGAGGGCCTGTGCCTGGTCTGTAGGACCAGCCCACCCTAGACACCCCACATCCCTTTCCTGGCCCTTCCTCCACTTTAGAACCCTCAAGATGATTTAATGACTAAGCAGGAGTGTTGGATTGTGCTTGGTGAGCGAAGTGGCCGTGTGACCCTCACATAACCCCTACTTCCCTTGACACACTGAGATTCCAGTCCAGATTTTGGTCATAAGTTGAGGACTACCTAAAGTTTCAGGGCTTCTTTTTCTCCTCGTCATAGAACGAGAACCAAGGAGGAAAAGATAGAGTCAGTGAACAGCAGGAGAGTTTGCCTCCGAGGGAATCTGGGGTGACAGAATCCATGGAGGTTTTGTCTGGGGTGTACTGCGGACCCCTGCCCTGGTCAGAGGGTGGATTGGAAGACCTTCATGGCCCCTTCCAAGGCTAAGATTTTGTGATTCTCTACCATTCTCAACAGGAAACATTATTCTCCTCTTCTTTCTTTTTCCACCAGCAGGAAAACAACTCTGACCAAAGATTCACCTGCAAGTCAACTATCAACAGATAACAGAAAATCAGCCCAAGGCAGCCAGTGCCAGAAAGGATGGAGCCTGGGAAACTCTTGGATCCCCTGTGAGACACAAGCAGCACTCCGGAAAACCACAAGAGAACCCATGAATGCTCAGAGTGTGGGAAATCCTTTGCTTGCCAGTCCCTCCTTTTGACCCACAGGAAGTTCCATGTGGGAAGAGGATCCAGTGAAGGTTTGCAGGGTGAGAAATTCTCCTCTGGAAAAGACATGAAAAATTTCAGAAGCCCCTCCAGACTAAAGCCCTATAAATGTGAGGAATGTGACTTATGCTTTGGTCAAAAGTCACACCTTCTTAGACATCAGAAAATCCACACTGGAGAGAAACCCTATCAGTGTCTGGAATGTGGGAAATTTTTCCGTGAAAAAGGCCAACTGGGAAACCATGAGAGAATTCACACAGGGGAGAAACCTTACAAGTGTTGGGAATGTGGGAGGAGCTTTTCTTGGAAGGCAAATCTTTGGGCCCATGAGAAGGTTCATGCAGGAATAAAATCTTACAAATGCTTTGAGTGTGGAAAAGGTTTCACCCAGAATTCAACTCTTTGGAATCATGCGAAAACACACAGAGGGGAGAAAAACGAAAAGTGTCTCGAATGTGGGAAATGTTTTATCTTGAAATCAAACCTAGTGCAACATCAGAGAAATCACACCGGAGAGAGACCCTATGAATGCCCAGAATGTGGGAGACGATTTATGTTTCCTTGTCTACTTCAGAGACACCAGAAGAGGCACAAAGGGGAGAAACCCTATGAATGTGGGGAATGTGGGAAAGGTTTTCTTACACAAAGAGAGCTTCAGCTTCACGAAAGAATCCACACAGGGGAAAAACCATACAAATGTGGGGAGTGTGGGAAATGCTTTTCCCTAAAACACAACCTTGGAAGACATGAGAGGCTCCACACAGGAGAGAAGCCATACAGATGCCTAGAATGTGGGAAATGTTTTGCTCGAAACGGAACTCTTTGGACACATCATAAAATCCACACAGGTGAGAAACCATATCAATGCATCGAATGTGGACAATTTTATTCGACCACATCAGACCTCAGAAGTCATGTAAAAACTCACACAGGGGAAAGAAATTACAAATGTTTAGACTGTGGGAGAACATTTGCTCATTCATATTCCCTTAGAAACCACAGCCGAATCCATACAGGAGAGAAGCCCCATAAATGTTCGGAGTGCGATAAATGTTTTTCTAAAAAAAATACTCTTGTGATACATCAGAGAATCCACACTGGAGAGAAACCATATAAATGTCCAGAGCGTGGGCAATGTTTTGCCCGAACTTCATCACTTTGAAAGCACACCAGAAGTCACACAGGGGAGTCGCCTTACAAGTGTGCAGAGTGAGAGAAAACTTTTCATAGTAAATCTCAGGTTAAAAGGCATCAGAAAGTCCATAGTAGAGATAAACCTCTTCAGTTGTGAGGAATGTGGAAAACATTTTTTGAAACGTCACATCTTATAATTCACCAGGAACTTCACACAGTCCCAGAAGGGAAATCCTACAGTTTTTTGGTGTGGGGAAACCTTCACAATCAGGAAACCAGCATGTTAATTTTTTGTCAAAGTTTCTTGTGCTTTTTGTACACCAAAGCGTCCGCACAGGAGAGGTTCCACAAATGCATCAGCAGAAACCAAAATTTTATTTCTGATTTTTTTTTACTTTTCACTTTGGAGATTAAGATTTTGGGGCCCAGAAGAGAAGAAGGAATCTCAGTTTAGATGCCTCAGATAATATGAGGTGATGGAAATTGCCTTGTGATTCCGTTGCACCTAAAATGACAGGAATATCCTATTTTTCTCTTGAATGTGTATTTACCTCCCAGCCAGCCCAGAGCCCAAGGACCTCCTGGTGGTCTCCCATCCAGCACTGCGGAGCTTTCCTAGAGTGGCCAAGGCTGGCCAGGTGTGGCCTCTTAGCTGAGACAATGAAAGGGAGGGTCTCTCTCTGGGTCTGGCAAGATGGGGTTAAGGCAAGTCAGGAGCCCAGTTCAAAGTCAGGAGCTTCTCAGAGAAAAACTGCAAAGAGGGAAAGGGTTTGTGCTAAGTGACTGAGAGTCTTTTTGGAGTTGGGCAGGATTAACAAATTCAGGAAATAAATAGAAACATGGAATAAATATCCTGCAGCACAGCAGACAGATGCCTGGGGAAAAGAAAAACATTTGCTGATAATTTTGTAGTAATTTTGGAAAACTTTTTTTAAGGAACAAAAATATTAATGGAAAAATTAATATTTTTGTTTTGGTCATTAGCTGGTTTTAAAATGAATAGCTGAAAGACAAAGATAGCAAAGTAAACATGAAAACGGGAGAGCAAATAGATTGGATGGGAAAATTATGTTAATTATGTTAAGGCGTGGGATGAAATCAAGAAGGATGTGTTAAGATGTGGACATTACAACTGTTGTTAGGGAGAATTTCTGTGATTAAAAATGAATGTATTACCTACTTTCATGATGTTTCTGTTTTATGCAACACCTCTCTAAATAATAGATGCACCCCTTAAGCCAGGGGTGTCAAACCTATGGCACGGTTGCCATCGCCCCAGCCCTACGCCTTCAGCTGGGTTTTATAAAACTTTTTCACTTTAGGCCTCCATCGCCGTATGGAAAAAAAAAAAGTTCAATCAATTTCAACCTTGCAGGGGAAAAAAAAGATCTCGCAAAGTTGGAATTGATTGTTTGAATTTTTTAGTCCCACCCAGTCTGCCGTTACCACGGCAGCCACGCCCACCCAATGGGCCAACCCAACCAATTGGCCACACCCACCCAGCACCCAATGATACATAAGTGGGTTTTGTGGTGCAGTTTGGGCACTCGGTCTCTAAAAGATTCGCCATCACTGCCCTAAGTGGAATTTTCCTCCAATGGGATTTTCCCATGTATTTTACCACAAAAGATAGATAGGTCAGGCTAGAAAACTCAGTGCCCTGCTAACTTTACCCAAGCACTCCAAATTCGTTGGCAACGTCCCTTTTGCTCTCCGAGTTCATGGTGACGTAACCCTAACTCTAAGTCCGTGGTGGCGAACCTATGGATGCGTGCCACAGGTGGCATGCAGAACCCTCTTTGTGGGCGCATGGGCCGTCACCTCAGTCCTAGGCTTTGAGCTGGTTGTACAAAACCTTTTTGCTTTAGGCCTTGACCATCGTGTGCAAAAAAAAAAAAGTTGGAGCTGATTGGTTGAACTTTTTAGTTCCGCCCAGTCTGCAGTTACCACTGCAGCCACGCCCATCCAATGGGCCACGCCCACCCAGCACCCAACGATATATAAGTGGGTTTTGGGTTGCAGTTTGGGCACTTGGTCTCTAAAAGATTCGCCATCACTGCCTTAAGCAATCTAGGTTTATATGCCAAGAGAAAAACCAAGAGTTTAAAACTCTTCAGGATGCAAAGAAAAGGGGATAGCCTGATTGGGAAATTCTCTTTTGCAGCCTCTTCAGTTTGGACAAAAAGAATGAGCTTTGCTGAGAAATAAGAGAATTTTAAAATAAGAAGAGCAGGAGCTGAAATTTGGGTGGCCTGGTTTTGATGTGGTACAACCTCAACAATCCTCGTGATGGAAGTGATGCATTGAGAATACGGAAGGGATGTAAGCCCGGTGGGTGCCCGAGAAAGCCCTGGCAGAGGAAGGCCATGTATGGGAGAGGAAACGAGCAGGCAAAGGGGAACGGTCACGTATGGAAGTTGTTAGAAAAAAGGAACGAACGTTGGAGAATACAAGGGGAAGTCAGGAGATCAGCAGAGGGATTTAGCTTCTCACAGTTTTTCTCTGTAGAGTCGAGAAAAAGATTGAAGGTGGACAAAAGGACACTTGGAATTAAACACAACCTATTGGGAGACAGAATTTGAAACTGAAGTCCTGTATTTGCAAATGATGACCATGAAATGGGTAACAGATATCAACTTTTTCTAAAAACTGAAATGGACAAAAAAACAAGTTAAAGAGTGTGCAGCTAGTCCTCGGGTTGTGTGGTCACTTTTTGCGACTTTCTGACAAGCAAAGTCAAGGGGAAGCCAGATCCATTTAACAACCATGTCGCTATCTTAACAAGTGCAGTGATTCACTTAACAACTTTGGCAAGAAATGTCCTAAAAATGGGGCAAAACTCACTTTACTGTCTCGCCTAGCAACAGAAATTTTGGGCTCTATTGTGGTCGTAAGATGAGGACCACCTGTATGACGAAACAGGCCAGAGGTTTTGGTTATTCTGTGCCATCAAGTCTGTGTCGACTCTTAGCAACTGCATGATAAACCTTCTCCAGAATGATCTCTATCCCCAACCGGATCCTTCAGGTCCCCCGATGGATCCCGTATCGCCACTTTACCTGGATACCCCCCTGGTTGCCCTTCTCATTCCCCCCATCTTTCTCAACATCAGAGCCTTCTTCTTAAAGCAAACATTGCTACAGACTATCTCTGACTGATGACAGTTTGAGCCTGGTCGATTTATTCCTGGAGTAAGAATTCTGGTCGGTTTCTTGTGTGATCCATTTGTCTGTTTTCTTGGCTGTCCATGATCACCTCAGGAATTTTCCACAACACCAAAGTTCAAGACCTGTCCACCCTCTTCCTGTCCTGCTTCTTCAAAGTCCAATTTTCGCTTGCGTAGAAGGTCACAGGGAATATCTGAATATTCTGATCTTAGGTTTATGTTCCTCTAGCCTCCGTCAATAAAAGGGAGTTCTAGAATTCTTCTGGGTTTTGTTTCCTGATTTAGCCTCCCTTGAGGAGCGGAGATCCAGCTTCAAGGCCTGGTGGCCTTTTTTCTTTCCTTTCTAAAAACAGGCAAGCAACTTGGCCACTCTAGGAAAGCTCGGCAGCGCTGGACGGGAGACCACCAGGAGATCCTTGGGCTCTGAGCTGGCTGGGAGATAAATACACATTCAAGAGAAAAATAGGATATTCCTGTCATCCTTAGATTCTTGTAACAATTTACATTTGGTTCTCGCTTTCTTTTTTTGCCATATAAATCTTAGAATCATTGCATTTAAATCGTCAAAAAATTCTTAGTAAGTTTAATAGGCACTGTTTGAAATAAGAAAATTAGCTTTGGTAAAATGTTCATCTTAACCGTCGCTATTCTTCCTAAAAATGATAGTTGAAGATTTCCCCATCTTTCCAAGTCTATTTTTATTTGTTTCATTAATCTCTCATAATTATCTTTTAGTGTAGTATATTTCGCCGTTAAATAAATACCCAAATATTTAACTTTTTTAACTATTTGAAGATTTGTCATGTTAGCGAGTTGGGTTTTGTTTATCTGTTAATTTTTTTGTTATTATTTTAGTCTTTTCCCTGTTTGTTTTCAGAGCAGCAACTTCTCCAAATTTCTCAATTTTCTGCAGGAGTTTATCAGCTGTTTGCAATGGCTCCTCTAGAATGAAGACCAAGTCATCCGCAAAAGCCTGTAGTTTATATTTCTGGTCTTTAATCTCCAGACCTTTAATTTCTGTATCTTGTCTAATATTTCTTGCCAGAACCTCTAATGTAAGAATAAACAACAGAGGGGACAATGGGCATCCCTGTCTAGTGCCTTTTTTAATCTCAAATCCATCTGTGTAATCTCCATTTAAAAGTATTCTTGCTGTTTGTTTCTTATAAATTGCTTGAATTGCTTTGTTAAAATTTTCACCAAAGTCCATTTCTTGGAGTTGTTGAAACATAAATTTTTTTCATTAAATCATTGTGACATTGTAGGTCACCGTCTGTATCCTGTAGCTTAGTTATTAATCTTTTTTCTCTTTCTTTTTTTAATCTATATGCAAGCCACCTCCTAGGTTTATTGGCATTTTCAAAAAAGTTCTGTTTGGACCTTTTAATCTGTTGTGCCATTGTATTTGTCTCAAATAAGTTTAACTTATGTTTTAATAGTTCCATTTGTATTTTCAACTTTTTCTTTTGAGGGTCTGATTGTAATTCAGCTTCCAACAAACTAAGTTGTTCTTTCATCCTATGTTGAGCAAGTTTATTTTCCTTATTCTTTTTAACAAGATAAGTTATTGCCAAACCTCTAAATTATGCTTTTGCCGTGTCCCATACAGTTTGAATAGAAGTTTCTTCTTTTTTATTGACTTTAAAAAAGAATTCCATTTCTTTTATTGCAAATTGTAAAAACTCCTTTTCTTTCAATATTGATTTATTCAAGGACCATCTTGGTCTTTTCTTAAGTCTTTTCCAGGTCATTTTCATTGAATTATGGTCTGCCCAAATATTAGATTCTATTTCAATTTCTTGTATCATGGCCTTTAAGTCCAAAGAAGTCCATATCATGTCAATTCTTGACCACGATTTATGTCTGTTAGAATAAAAGGTGTATTGTCCTTTTTCAGGGTACATCTCTCTCCAAATGTCCTGTATACAGAGTTCATCTTTCATTCTTAGAAAAGATTTAGGTAAAACATTACTTCCTTTTTTCCCCTGTTTGTGACTTTTATAGTCCCGTACTGAATCAACAATTGCATTAAAGTCTCCAAGTGTGCACAAGCTATGGTAGTTTAAGTCCACAAGTTTATCATATAATTGCTGAAAGAATTGATCTTGTTTCTCATTGGGTGCATATATCGACACCATCAATATTTGTTTTTGATTCCATGTAATCTCAACTATCAGTATTCTTCCCTCTTCATCAGCATAGATTTGTTTTGGATTCATCTTTTCTTTTATATAGAGAGCTATTCCTCTTTTCTTTTGTGATGCCAAGGAAAAATAAAGTTTGCCAAGTTTTAATTGTTCAAGTATTCTAGAATGTTGTAGTTTAATGTGTGTCTCCTGGAGACAAATTATATCCATTTTTAACTTGTAGCCTATGAAATATTTTACTCCTTTTTGATGGGGAGTTAAGACCATTTATATTTATTGAAAGAATTCCAATTTCCTCCATAATTTCAATTGTGTCGAGATCTCAATTTTCTCCAGTACAGGAGATGGAGAATCCACCAATGAGTTTTCTCTGTCTGCCTGCTCTTGAGACCAAGTAGCCAAAACTTGACACACCCCCTCTTGCTGGAGCATCCATTCTTAACTTGGTCTCAGCTCTTGAAGACTCGTTTTGGCTTGGCTCTCAGATATTTCAGGTTAGTCAGAGCAATTCATTGGTGGATTCTCCCTAAATTATTGGCTATTTTAAATTGGATACTTTCCCTTAACAAATTCCCCACAGGCACTGAGATCATTTGTGATCTCAAATTAATTAAAAGGTGGGGTGTGGGGGGGAATTCCTCCAGCTTCCCATCCCATTCTCAGGGCTCTGGTTGGGGGGGGGGGAAGAAGGCATCAGCAGAGACTACTTGCTGTGCCTTTCTCCCCAGCTTCCCAGTCTTTTCCCCCAGTTTTGGGGGGAAAATAGCAAGCTCCAGACTGGGATTCAAAAACTGAATCCAGATCACCGGAGCTCGCTCCAGCAGCCCAGGGCAACCGCGGGCGCCATTTTGGTTGCCTTTTCAGGCAACGAAGGCTGTTTTTTCGGCTAAATCAAGCCCTAAAGCGGCGAAATCGCAGCACACAACCCTCGCTGCATCCACAATCCCCCCGGACAGAAAAAAATGCAAGAAGGCCGTGGAGCCCATTTTCGGAAGGAAACGGGCTGCGGCCACCATTTGCCAAGCCAC